AAAACAAAAATCAAACCAAAACAAAAATACCCATGCAAACAGAGCTGCAGCAAAAAGTATCTTTTTAAATGATATTAAAAAAAAAAATAGTTCAAAAGTCAATCAATATGGTTTCGTTGAAGATAAAGAACATTGAGTAAGAGGATATGATTATGTCATTTCCCAGAATACTTTTCGGTCTCAGCTTCTATATGTTCTATGTTTTGAACCTGGCAATGGTTTTGCAATAGGACGTTTCCACGATGGCGTCATTGACCTCTACTACCAGAGTCCCTTGCACGCTTTCTTTTGTTCAGTTAATTAGCACCAATTGTCTTATTATTCTCATGAGGGAATACAAAATTAAATAAGAAAGAAAATTGGCGAAGCATCTTGGTAGTGGGAGTCAAATGACACCATCATGCAAACGTAGTGTTGAGTGTATAACGGTAACTAACGCCAGCGACAATCTGTCATTCATCGTATTATAATTAGCCAAGTATTCATGGTGGATGGCTATATTTGGAATCTATTTACCATAACTGAAGTTAAATTTAGATGGCAGAATCAAGAGCTAAGAAGATAGAGTGCAAACATTGATGTAAGGAATCGTTCATTCTATAATGAGAGTAGGGTGGGGTGGGTGAGTAGTCAAATAAACTACTGCGGGAGAGAGGGTCAGGTTCAGTTTGCACTAGGTTTTTTTCTTAAATAAAATCTAGATGTTGGTTTTAATTTCTCAGTTTTTCTAATAGAAATAAATGGTTAACGTTTTAATTCTTATTTAGAAATGGGTCAATGATTCAGACGTGTATTCTTTATTTATTTCATTTATTTGTCCTTTTTCAATAGCGAGTCCTTTTCATTCAATCGTGGTAGCCACAATGTGAAAAATCAGTAAAGATCCTAACATTGCAAGGGCTTTACACAGGGAAAACTTAGCGTACTTAAAGCCACAAATTCTAGCGCTGCTTGGCGTTTCTATTAGTATGATCTGATTCAGTCACCCGAGCCTGACGTCAGCGATAATTTATTCCTAATTTAATAAATTTACTAATTTACTAAATTACTAAAAGTTTGTTTTTCAATTTCACTATGACAACCTTTTTGCAAGAAGGCATAACTGGAAAATGCAGCATAAATGATGAAGCAAATGCCGTCGTTAAAAAGTGCGCGCACGCGACTTCTTTTGTATTTTCCTGTTAGTGCTAGGTCCAATTTAATATTAAGCCTTTAGATAATTTATGCGATGCATTTGACGAATCAACACCTATTTTTCTGATCTTTGCTTGAGTTCTGTGCGACTCTTTCAGTCGAATTTAAGTTATTTTTGTCAAATTCAATTGAGTTGCACTTGTCATGTACAAAAAAACAACTAGTTTTAAGAGCGCGGGTCTATGGAATTACGCTATAGTTAAAAAAAAAAATATCATGTACGAAATCACGTTCTGTACGTTCTTGGCTTCATAAGATGCTGGTGCTGATATTGTTACGAAAAAAAAGACGCTTTGGAATAAAAATACGTTCTTGGCTTCATTAGATGCTCAGGGTGCTAATATTGTTACAAAAAAAGAAGACGCTTTGGAATAAAAATACAATCATTCAATATTTACCACCATATTGATATATTGAATTAGCTTTTGGCGTGAGCAAGTGCTTTTGGAATGATCAAAGGAGAGAAAAGAAAGTAATTAAGCAAAAGAAAGAGAAAGAAAAATTAAGAAATAAGTAACAAAAAAAA